TTTTCTACAGGAAGTTTTTAGTAAAAAGTAGTAACAAATAAATTTATAGAAGAAAACAAGGACCCGTTAGACTTCAGGAGAAACATAAAATGTATATTTATCTCAGAAATAAAAAATATATTTTTCAATTTCTACTAGTTTCTAGGATGTATGAACAGTATAATGTACTTAAAAAAAAAACAATGAAACAAAAACCCAGTTTTATTATAATAATCTTTAAATATAGGTACCAAATTAGAGAAAAACAGTTATCTATTGTGTTTATATACATACACAGAGGAGATAATAATAATAATGTTTATTTACTGAAATATACATTTAAAAAATACATTCATAAAAACGACAGGAAATAAACACAAATTCACAGAAGCAGTTCTTACATTGTGTACCGCTTATAGGGGAGTGGGGGGCACAACCGGATATCTGGGCACAACCGGACAGGCCTATAAATTTGTACAGTGACTTGATTAGGACTAGACATGGGTAACGCACTAAAATTCTTTGCGTTGATCTTAGATTATACAAACCTTAGATGGAACATAAGACACTGCGCATAATCCCATTTCAAAATGATTCACACCCACCAATCACAGTTGAGAACATTACATGTCAGACCGTTGTCCATTCAAATTTAATGTGTCAACGAGAATTAATTTGGTATTTTAGTGACTTAAATTTTGGAAATTAACGTTGAAAATGCCAAGATGTGTTGTAAAAAGCTTTATTTATAATAAACCTGCGAAATGTGACGGAGATAAAAGAAACTTATATTTATTTCGGTGAGATATTTAATTTTTAAAGATTCTGTCGACGTCCATATTTGTTGATTTGAAAATAAACAGAATCGGACTTGGTCATTGGTACATGTTATAAGTAGCAAATAAAGGTTATTATTATAAACTATTTACTATTTCTTGTTTCATAGGGAATCTTTTTTTAGGAAGTGAAAAGAGAAACATACAATCAAATACAAAATATCAATTTCATTGCCAATTTATTCGTTTCAAACTTCACAACTGGTTTCAATAGTTTTCTCAAAACTATTTATTTAGTAATTCTCTATAATAGTGTTACTTTAAGTGTAAAGCCAAAGTTTCCGCGAAGAAAATAATCACAATAAAAAAAAAACAGTACTATCGCCACAAAATGGAGGGACCTGGCTTGAGGACCGTTTTTTGGGAAGTAATTTTTTTAAGTCACTAACAGGAAGGAGGATATGATTTTGCTTTAGGACTTTTTTTTATTTAATTTTTTATGGGATAATTTTTGCAAGGAATCTTTGGAATAAATCAAAAATAAATGATGCTCTGTGCATTTTCAGCCGATTAAATTATTCGTAGATGCATCAAATGTGGGAATAAGGGCCATGATATGTCATGTTTTTGAAAAAAAAAAAAAAAAATATTGAGAAATCTATAGTTTCTGCTTCGCGTACCTTATCAAAGTCCGAACAAAAATATTCCCAAATTGAAAGAGAGATCCTTGCAATAATTTTTGGCTTAAATAAATTTAATGAATATTTATATGGACATTTGCATAAAGTAGAACATTATGCAACTGATTACGAAAAGTTGATTATGTCACCAGTTACGAAATGAAAATAAATAAAACTGCCTCGTTTTTGGTTTCTAAGTTGAAAAATCGTAAAATCGAGAAATTGAGATACCGAGAAATCGAAAAATCGAGAAATCGAGTAATCGAAAAATCTAAAAATAAAAAATTGAAAAATCCGAAAATCCAAAAAACGAAAAATCGAAAAAACCAAATATCGAAAAAGAGGCAATGAATAGTGACATTTCACATTTGAAAATATGACATTACGTTTAAAAACAAAAAAAGAGAAGCTGTAAATTGCGTTTAATTTTTAAAATAACACCGTTATTGAAAACTGCCCAGAAATGTTGGGGGTAAAATTTTGATGTACTTCTTTAAGGATAATGGGTAAAAATGTTTTTTTTTTCAAATTTCTCGCGGGTAATGTCAAAAATTGGATCGGCAACACTGCACATGTCCCTTATTTTTATTATTACTATTGAAAAAAAAAAAACGTCGTAGGGCAATCAAATACAACAATTTTCTAAAATATTTGATTGGAAGTACCTACACAAGAATGATGGTGAATAATTTTTCAACACAATTTTATAAATAATCACGTCAAAATTAGAAAAAATCTTGTATATAAACACGTTACGAAATGCCGTTTTGTGTAAGTCGTTCATGTTGCGGGAACTCGCTCCGCTCGTTTTGCAAATATTTACTCGTTACACAAAATAAGGCATTTCGTTACATAAATAACTATTAATTGACTTTCTAATATTTTAATTCATTGGACGGTATTTTCCGTAAATAATTAAATCATAAATAATTACCAGGATATAAGTACCAAAACATTTTTTTCTCTTAGAATAGTAAGCCTATGTCAAATAAACTTAAAATATTATAACGAACGAAAAGGTAACCCATTTCTAATAAAATTTAGTTATTTATTTTATTTTGGTGTGATCGTAGAAAAAATCTTTTGTGTAATTCGAGCAGAAAGTACTTATAAACTTTTACTTAGGGTCGATTTTACCGTTTTATTAAACGAAGTTTAAAATACTAAACGAAGATTAAAATGACATTTTTATATTAACAAAAACGAAGTTTAAATTACTAAATGGTGTTTAAAATGACATTTTTATATTAACAATGTCATTTTAATCTTCGTTTAATAATTTAAACTTCGTTTGACACAACGGTGGAATCGGCCCTTAGCTAGTTATATATTGATAAAGTGTTATTGCCCTCATCATACAAGAATCGTGCTAACAAATAAAGTCAAACAAACGTCTCATAATTTTTCATCTTTTAATTATCCACCAAAATTAGGTACTACAATACAAATATTTAAGTCCGGCCCAGAACACCTCCCTACTCCTTCCACCCAGTTTTTCGGTTTTGGCAAAATTCGCGCAGCGAGAAATGCTTCCTATGTTACCTCTACCCTTTCTAACCTCTTTGGCGTTGATACACTAACTCCGGCGCACTGTACTGCGCCAACTCATTGCGTTAACGCAATTGCGTTACAACACACTGCGCCGAATTAAGTATTCGTATTCCGTGATACCCAACCAGCAGGTGATACCGGCGTTACTCTGCGCGGGCGGGCTTTCCGCTTTATATGTCAAACCGTGTTTAAGGTTCAAGGTCGTAAGGCAATTGATAATTCAACTAAAAATGTTTTTTTTTAATATATTTAAAAATAAACTAAAATAGAACAATATAATGCACCCATTTTTTTATTTCATTCTGTTCGAATTTTACAAAGAATACAAAAACTCCAAAGGATAGAACTAATTGTATTGATTTGTTACTATTAACCAATGAAAAAGGCATAAACTGACAGTGTACAAGGTTGAAATCCAAAGTAGATAATTTATTTACTTGATCTTGAGCATTACGACTTACGACTATTACGAGTTTCATAAATGCAGTATTTTTTTGTAATTTCGAGTATAGGTTAGGTATGCCTTGGTTATATATATATATATGGATAAACCCCGTCAATACTTCGGTCTGCCAAGTTCCTTTAACATTTTTAACTCCAAACGACCCTTTTAGCGTTCGGCTTAGTCCAATTAGTGACATCTGAACACGCTTAAATGTGATTTAAAATCACTCTAAAAAACTCCGCTCCTCTTCAGTTCCAGGGGGGCTATTTTCAAAGAATGGGAGCACTGATTTCTCTCAAGATTCTCATCAGAAATGTCATACGTCAATGTGGAAACGTTTTTAAAGGCATCGAGGATTAAAATTCTTAGGAAGATTTTAATTCTCTCTAAATAAACCTAGAGAAACAGTCAGTGAGTTAACACTGGCCCTAAGAGCCCTAAAAATACGGTTTTACGTTGACGTATGACATTTCTCTTGGGAGAAATGAATTCTCTCGGCCCCCTGGCCAATTAAAATCATACGAAGATTAAATATTTAATTAAAAAATATATGTAACAATCCCTTTTTGTTATTAATTCATAACTTTAAAGTTTTCATATTATTTTAAATCATATAGAGTTTTTATTGAACACCAAAAATAAAATACGTAAAAATTATTAAACAATTTATTACATTCTAACATTATTTTACATTTTATATAAGTAGGTATTTCAACGCCGCGGGTAAAAGTGTCCCATAGACTTGACGAGCATGTTGTCCTCCATTTTTTTGTTTTCAGCTTTTTTTATGCCAATTTGAATAATTTAAATGACTTTCAGCACTTCGGTAGTGGTTTGTTTACCTAATCCTGATATAGTGTTTTTACTACCCCAAGCAAATTTCAATTATTTTTTGTAATTTTTACGTAGATGCATTCATAATGTCCAGAAGTTGCCAAAATATTATAAGGCTAAATGTCAAAATAAAATGCAACGTTTAGCTATTTTTGTATCGTATTTAACATTTTACTGCCACTGTAAATTTTAATAAATTGTACAAAAATGACATAACTGACCACTGACAAAATTATATAATAGAATTACATAATTATTCTGCAATGCCTTTATAAGAATTTATTGTTTCATATATTTTCTCAATGCTAAAGTGGGATAGAGTATTCTACTGGGGTAGTAAAACACTATTTATATAAAGTTGGTTCATGGTTGAAGTTCTTATTTTTTATTTTGTCTATGTTTACTTTTTAGTTGTTTAGTTATATTAGTGGATGTAAGTTGATGCTGTTGCTGTATTTTTTGGACATTTTTTTGCCAAGTTTAGAGTGTATTTAGACTTTTAGATTATTTAGACTATTTTGATTGTTTTTATCCGAGTTTGGACTTTATAAAGTGTTTAATTTAGACTAGTTTAGATTTAGTGTTTAATTTAAACTTTTCTTCATAAACGATGTCTTCAAAACAAACAAGTCAAGTGTGGCTTCATTTTTCAGAAATAAATGAAAACAAAAAAGTTAAATAATTATATTGTAGACAAGAAATATATGTTTCTAATAAATCAACCTGTGGCCTGATTCGCCATATGTCAAAAAAGCATCCCACTCTACCAATTACAAGGCAACCAGCATTGTCAGTAAATAATGAAGAAACTGGAGAGGATAATCTGATTCAGACAGCAATTGCTGGCCCTTCAACAGCACACCCACCTCAGCCAAAACGGTTCTGTCCTTTGAGAACTCAAAATATTTTACAATATTTTCATAAACCCCTTCCATTAAAAAAACAAAAAGAAATTGATCGGCAACTAGTGGTAATGATTGCAAAAGAATACCACCCATTCAGTATCGTTGAAGATAAGGAATTTATAAAATTTATACATTTATTAAACCCTAGTTATAAACTTCCAACAAGAAAAACAGTATCTGCATCTCTAATCCCAGCAACATATGACGAAATACATAAAACTGTCAAAATAAGACTTAATAGGGCATTTGCAATATGTTTAACGACTGATGGGTGGACATCAAGAAGTAACGATAGTTTTTACAGTGTTACAGCACATTATATAGTTGAAGATGAAAAAAACACGTATTTAGCTTCAGATTTATTAGGTTGTGTTTCATATACTGAAAGACATACTGGAGAAAACATTGCAAACAAAATAACATGTATGTTAGCAGAGTGGGACATAAACAACAAAATTACAGCAGTAGTCACAGATAATGCTGCGAACATGAAATTAGCTGTACGTATTGGTAGTTGGCGTCACTGGGGTTGTTTTGCACATTCTTTAAACCTAGTGACACAATCTGGATTAAAAGAAATACAGGAGGTTTTAGATAAAATCAAAGTGATTGTGAGGTTTTTTCACAAAAGCAGTCATGCTTATTCAAAACTAAAAGAAACCCAAGAAAGAATGGAGCTTCCAATTTTAAAATTAAAAAATGATGTACCGACACGATGGAACTCAACCTATGCAATGATACATCGGGTTTTAGAAACTAAAAATGCACTGATTTCAACACTGGCACTCTTAAATGTTTCATTAGCCACTAGTGATGAACAAATACCTCTTTTGACTTCTGAGGAGTGGACTATTGTAGAACAATCAATGCAAATATTACAAATGTTTGATGTTGTAACCACTACCTTAAGTGCTGAAAGCAAAGTTACTGTTTCATCACTAATAATTTACTACCGTGAGCTTTCTAAACACCTAAAATCATTCAACGGCTCTAATTTAAAACCAGAGGTAGAAAATTTAGTGAAAAAATTATTGTCCGAGTTAAATAGGCGTTTTGGAGATATGGAGGACAATGAATTAATTTCACAATCCACAATTTTAGATCCGAGATTTAAAAAGTTCGGTTTTATTAATGCTGAAAAATACAAAAAAGCTGTTCAGAAACTGTATCATAAAATTGCAAACACTCGAGTCACAAATGTTAACTCTACAATATATGAACAGGTAAATAATGACGACTTTACTGCAGATGCACCTAAAACAAAAAAAGATAATCCGTTAGATATTCTTTGGAAGGATTTTGATTCAGAGATTCAGATGCACACAAAACCTAGAAATGCATTAGCAGCTGCAATAGTGGAATTAGATAAATATTTAGATGAACCAATATTGCCTAGACAAGATAGTGAAGGAGTGTCACAAGATCCATTATTATGGTGTCATCAACGAAGATACATTTACCCACGGTTATACCAAATAGTTAAAACAAGATTGTGTGTTATGGCTACTTCAGTTCCATGTGAGAGAATATTTTCACATGCTGGACAAACAGTAAACGAAAAACGTGAAAGACTTACAACGTAGAAAATATCTCAGCTGATATTTTTAAATTACAATTTAAATAACAATGCTTAACACTATCACCTTAATTGTTTTTGTATTTTATTTTGTTCCGTTTCCTTGTTCTTGTGTTTTATTTCTTCTTTTGTTCATTTTAATGCATGTGTTTTTTGTTTTATTTCTTCATCGAATTTGGTCTAAAATAATATTTTTATTAAAATAATATCAAACCGCTCAAAAAATTAATCAATACCTTATGTAAAAAAATGTTTCCAAATTGATGTAACAGTAACAGTAGAGAGTAGAAGTACAAACTCACACAAGATAAAGATATGCTGTGTAATCAATTTACATTTGGAAGTGAGCCTCTATAGTGTAGCATATAGCTGTAAAAAATAAACATGTTAGAAATGTAATAATATAAATATGAAAGAAATATCATTTTAGAAAGTCCGCTTAAAAAATAAAATTAATAATACCTCGGTCTGCTGATAGCGATACTAATGGTTCAAGAAGATTTAATGTTTCAAGTATATTCATAAATATAGGTACACTGGTACAACTTTTCTCGGCATTCAACTCAACGGTAAATTCTATAGTGAAGAGAAGCATTGTTATCGGTAAAAATCTAAAAAAGTTCAAGATAGCAAAGAGCAAAAAATTAACAGAAACACACCACATGGGCACATGACATTTAATATTTAAAAATTATAAAAATCTTAATTTGACAGGTGACAGGGGTATATGTCCCTACCTGCGTTAAGACATGACGCAATTCAAATTCTGAATCTCAACTCGTCACAGAACACGGAATCATTGCCTGGCGCATCTACTCTCGAGAGTCGAGCCTCCCGTATCGAAAATTGCGTTATTGCGTTGATACATTTCAGCTGGTGTATCAACACTCGTAACGCATACAACTGCGTTAACGCAATAACGCAACGCAGCGCTGCGTTACCCATGTCTAATTAGGACAGTGACGACAATACGTCTTTGCCGCCATGTTGCTGCTAATTTTAAATAGACTCTTATGAGCAGAGACTAGTTTTTAAGCAAATTTATTTAAAAACCTATTGTTTTGGTCTCAATATCAATCAAATTCAAGTTGTTTTACTATTTTTTACTATTAAAAATAACATAATATTTTTTCTATTACATAGGTACCTATCGTAATGAAATGGATAACTATATCATTGTTTACATATAGTTAGGATTATGAGCTAATTAAAGCCTTGCGACATATATAACTATAATAAAATAATATTAAAAGCTAAATATTTGTAAAAAAAAAACACATAAAAAAAATTAAATATTTGTGAATAAAAAAATGACAAAAACAAAATATTTGTGAAAAAAATACATACCTAGTTATATTTTGGTTAATCGCCATCGGTGAAAGAAAACTCTGTTTTATACACAAAAATATTACTTTAATCAGGAAATAAAATTTGCTTGGAAATATAGGTTTAAATTGAACATATAATTTTTTGACTTAAGATTATAAACAGTTTCAGCAAAGCAAAATATTTTCTCCTGAACATTAATTTCAAATCAAGCTTGATAGATTATTATGAGAAATAATTTGCTTAACCTAAGTATCCTACGATTCTTAAACCAAAGTAACAAATTTTCCTTTAGATTTTATCTTATGTAGAACAAAGACATTACTCTTTTCTTTTTTATGAGCATTACTATAATCTAATTTTTAAGGCAGGGACAAACATTCAAATTTAATTTCATTTAAGATGCAATAAAAAAGTTAAAACATAAGTATCCTGCGATTCTTTTGACAATTTTGAAATGTATTTCTCGATTTTATTTAAGAAATGTATTTCTTTATTTAAGAAAAATTTTTTTTTATTCAAAAAATGTTTTTCTTAAATATAACAAATACCCTTCCTCTATTTCATTAAAAGAGATTACAGCAGTTTAATCATTTTCTCAAATGAAACAAAATAAAATTCGATTTTGCTTCAGTTTGGCACTACCACCCCACCCTTTACAATAACAACGATTCTTTTTGACACAAATAATGCAGGTCAATGCATATTTTAGTTGAAATCTATTATCGTGAGTGATGTGTGTATGTTAAAATTAAAATTCGAACAATTCGAAAAAAAAAACTAAGTGAAATATTTTTGGTTGCCCACCATGTATTAATTATTTGTATTAAGTGTGTATTTTGGCTAGATATATTAGTGAAAAGCTTCCAAAAATAATTAAGACGAACTTTCTGGTATTCATTTTAAACACTTAACAATTTTCAAGATTTATAACTTCAGCATCCTGTATGTCCAATTATATGCCACTATATAGGATTTAGTCCTTGGAGACTAATCAGGATATCAAGTATGAAAAAATATTGTAGTTTTATTTCGAGTTTTATAATCATGGTAAGTATCTAAATATTTCATTCTGCCTAAATAAAAAAAAAATCTAAAATGATCAAAGAGAGCATGCTAACATTATTTTAAAAATATACAATTATTTTAATTTAAAAATCTTTTTTTATATGTAAGCATAAATATTCTTATAACAAAAATGCCATTGTCTTGTTTTTATTTTATGATTCTCTAAAAACAAATTAATTGTTAATTTACTTTAAGTATATATGATATATTTTGAACATTTCTTTTGGTTTAGTTTAAGAAAACTAATATGATTAAACTAAAGAATATGTTAAAATAATTTTGAGATTATATTATTAAAATTTAAAAATGTCAATTTTTTAATATACTTTAAGGATATTCTCGCACATATTTCATCGATCTTACGATAAACTTGAATTCAAGCTTTTATTCTTAAACAGGGCAATATTTTTTTTTGTGTGTACTATTAAAATAGTTTTTTTTTCTCTCAATGAATGCCTAACAAATATTTATAATAAATTACCAGCAACAGATTTGCTGGCAAGTTTTTTAGATGCAGATTTATATTTTTTTGAATTTATTTTTAGTCTAAAAATAACATATCTATTAATAATTTTAGTTTTAAGAGAATGACAATTTGGCAAATTTATTTCCAGACTAGCCATTTCTTTACAAAAAAAACCTTTTAAGGAGGTCCTTTCGCCACCAATGTTAAATAAAAAATATTAGATTATGACTAAAATTAATTTTATTCTAATAGTACGAGGATATATCAGTATATAATGAGACTGGTGCTATAACTTCTTTCAGAGGTAACATTTTATAACCCAAAAAATGAGACATGAAAGCCTTATATTTAATGTACTACCCCGCAAGTAGGCTTTGATTTAACTTTTGACATTTGTTACAAATTAATTATTGAATTGTCAGTGTTTTGCGTACCCATCGAAAAATGAAATTGGAGCAAAGATACGCATAAAATTTTGTGTTCGATTGGGTAAAACACCAACTGAAACTTTTGAAATGATTAAAGGTGCATATCTAGATAATAGTTTGTCACGATTTAGAGTGTTTGAGTAGCATAAAAAGTTTAAAGACGGTTGTGAATCAGTTGAAGATGAACCTCGTCCCGGTCGACCACAAACTGCGAGAAATGACACAAAAATTGCAGAAATTAACGACTTGATACAAAATGATCGCCGGATTGGCATAAAACGAATTTCTGACAATGTGAATTTGTCTTATGGTACCACTCAAAAAATTATTCATGAAGATTTAGAGTACCGGAAGATCGCGGCAAGATGGATTCCAAAAGTGATTACCGGTGACAATTTGTCAGCAGTGGAAAAGGCAATTGCAACGTAACCCACAGTTTTTAAATAATGTGGTTACATGTGACGAAAGTTGGTTTTATCATTACGATCCTGAATTGAAGTCTCAAAGTATGCAATGGAAGCATAAAGGCAGCCCAAGACCGCAGAAGGCCAAAACTGCTAAACGCTGGTAAAGTGATGCACCTGATTTTTTTTGATAAATTTGGCGTTATTTACGATCACATTGTACCTAAAGGACATACAGTAACAGGGAAGTACTATTCTAATGTACTTCGAGGACCCTTAAAGGCAAAATTAAAGAAAAAAAGGCCGCTTTATCAGGACTTTGGCTGGACGCTACATCACGACAATGCTCCGGCTAATAGATCAATGATTTGTCAACAAACAATTGAAGAATTAGGGGTTGAAATTATGGTTCATCCCCCCTACTCGCCTGACCTTGCTCCATGTGACTTCCATTTGTTTCCTGAAGTCAAAAAAGAATTAAGAGGTAGAAGATTTGAGTCGGATTTAGAGCTCAACAACGCTGTGATGGGTATACTAAACAGACTATCAAAAAATGGTTTCTCAGAAGTTTATGATAAGTGGATAAAGCGATGGAATAAGTGTATTCAACAGAATAGAGAGTACTTCGAAGGATAGTTGTTGAATTTTTTTAAATAAATGTTTCGTTGTTATACTATAGCACCAGTCTCGTTATTTTCTGACACATCCTCGTAGATGTCCTTATTTATCTAATAGTGAACTTTTAACTATACCTTACCGAGCAAATTTTTGAGAAAATTCTTTTTTTAAATATGTGTGTGTTTGTACAGTGTCTTACGAGAAAGTAAGACTTCAACAACAATTTTCGAATTATAATTAATTTTACTATTGATTAGATGGAGTAGAAAAAAACTAAAAATAAGGTTTTTGAAATATTTAGGTTTTGTTTTTTACAATAAAATATATTGGTTACCGTGGAATTTATTGAGAAATTTATATTAAAAAATCACAAAAAATTTTCAACTAGGTTACTTCAAATTTTTTTTTTAATATTAATTTCTCAATAAATTCCAAGGTAACCTATATATTTTATTGTAAAAAACAAAACCTAAATATTTCAAAAACCCTATTTTTAGTTTTTTTCTACTCCATCTAATTAATAAATAATAATATAATTCGAGAATTGTTGTTGAGGTCTTATTTTCTCGTAAGACACTGTACAAATACTCACATTTTTAAAAAAAAAATTCTCAAAAATTTGCACGGTAAGGTATAGTTAAAAGTTCAACATTAGATAAATAAGGACTTCAACTATTAGAAAAAAAATAAATTTTAG